CATGTCTGAGCTACCAGGCAAGGTCGTCTTTGGAGCACCTGTGAGACAGTGTAAGTGTTGGGAGGCTTCAGTTCTGACTCTGAACATTTCTATTCTAAATAAGTAGTTGGGAACCCAGAGGCATTTTCTCTGAAAAACAGTATGATACTTGGTGGTGAGGGTCCCAGTCTACCTCCACAAACATCTGTTTAAGGACCATCGGTTAATGACCCTGGAGTAGAACACACAGTAATGGTCCTACAGACCATCACCACCAGGGGATCACCCAGTTGTGGGTTTTGGGGTGGGAACTCTGGAGCAGCAAGACAGGGTCCCCTCAGATGGGGAACAGAGAATGAGAAAATTGGTGCTGAACAAAATGAAATAGCAGAGGGAGAAGTTTGGGAGCTCTAATGGGAAAGGAGGCCATGGTGAGTCTGTGAAGGGGGTCCATTCAAGTGTAAGCATTTCCTGGGTGCCAGGCCTTGGCTTTGGGAAGTCCTGTAAATCAAGATATTCAGTGCTTACTGTCAGCCTTTGGCCCATCATCTACTCCACACCTCCTGCTCTCTACCTCTAAAAATTCTATCTTGGCCATTAGGGCACACATGAATACAGCCGCACTTCCCCAAGACTCATGGTGGAGAATCCACTTTTTCCATTTAAGTCACTAACAGCTCTCTATAAAACAGACCAATGTGTGATACATAAATATATAGCATAATAACAGAAGAGTCCTGTGAGAGGGAAAAGGCACACTTATGTCCATGGGTTGTTCAATGGGTGCATTAATCTTAGGGGACCCCTGTAAGGCTTAGAGGAGCCTAGCTGCAGCTCCTTGACTGTTGTTCTTGTAGAGAGGCCTCCCAAATTTGACTTTTCAAATCCCTGGGTAAATTCCCAGCAACCTACTCTTCCTGACTGTAACCAGGAAAGCATGTTGAAATGAATATGAAATTCCATCAGTATAAAGCCTCATGAAGCCCAATCCACCAGCCCCATCGCTAAAGCCTCTAATAACGCCCTATTGTGTTACTGCGGTACTCTAGCTGGTGATTAAGAAGTTGTGCTCCTGGCTGAGAAAACATGATGTTCCATTAAATGTATAATCTGGATTTCCTCCAGGCCAGAGATGCATCCTGCTGAAATCTGAAATGAGCTGTGTTTGGCTGTCATGGAAAAGAAGAAATCCATTTGCTGGATACCAGGGAGTTGGGGGTGGGTCGAAGAATGGTGAATTCAGTGCCCTGTGATCCATTGGTTTTCGCCTGTAGACAGTGTCTAGCCAGCCCAGGGATCTTAGAAGCCCCAGGAAAAAGTGAGTCAGCATTCTTTCCCTTTGCACTCTGGTGTGGTTGTGTGCTGGACAGCACCGTTTGAAGATGTTCTTTCTAGGACAGAAGACCATGTCTGTGGGGACCACAAGGATCCTCTTTGCCATTGCTGCCTTTGACCCATTCCCCAGCTCTGGGCTCAACAGTCACGTAAATTAGGCCAGATCAAGATGGCAAACTGGAGGTGTGCACACTCTCATACCAGGTTCTAGCAAGTTTTTCACTCAGTGCAAAATATCCCTCACTTCAAGCAATAGGACAATGAAAGGAAATCAGAGGAGTCCCCTAAATGCAAAGATAGGTACCTGTGAAGAGTTTCCCATCATTTTTTTTCCTGGAGCATCTTTGGGTCCCCAGTGTAAAGGCAAAGGATCCTATGGTACATTTAGAAATGGATTCCAGGATTCAGTATAAAAGCAGCAGCATCCTCTACAATCACATACTTGGAGCTCAGCATGCTACTTTGAGACCCTCCTTACACTTGAATTTTTAAAAACTCAAAGTAAGTTATTTTTGTCAAATGTAAAAGCAACATAATGTTCACTGTAGAAAATTTTGAACATTCAGAAAAATATAAAAAATGAATTTAAAAATCTTTTTTAGACAGAAATACTATTACATCTTGGGTAAATAGAGACATACACGTGTGTTCAGTTTTTTTACAAAGGTAGAATTGTAATGCACATATAATGCTTGGTAATTATATTTTTACCTAAGAGTATTTTATGACCATTAAATATCTCTCCTAAAATATCTTGCAAGCATGCATATGTGCATATTCAAAACTATGCAAACTATGCATGTATCATGCCTTAATAAGTCTCCTGTTGTTCAACATTTAAGTAATTTTCAGCTTTATTATTATAAAAAGCACTGCCATGAACATTCATATAGGCACTTCTTTAGGATGATCTTGAATTATTTTTTTTAGGACAGGAATTGCCAGATGGAAAAGTAGTTTTCCCAGTTTTAAAAAGCATTTGATACACACTGCCAAATTATCTTCTTGTCTGCACCATCTAATATGCTAGCCACATGTGGCTATTTAAGTTTAAATTAGTTAAACAAAATAAAAAGTTCACTTCCTTAACTGCACTAGCCACATTTCAAGTGTGCAATAGCTACATATGGCTAGTACCACAGCAGCCGCGTACCAGCTGCACTGAACAGTCCAGAACGTGTCCATCATACCAGAAAGTTCTATGAGACATCACGAGTCTAGAAAGACTGCAACAATTTGCATTTTCCTTAGTAGGATATGACAGTGCCTACTTCCCACAAGTTGGCCAATACTGAATAATGAAATTCTTTAAAAATCTTTGGCTAGTAAAATTACATCTTCCTTGATTTTTTTCATTTCTTTAGTTACTAGCGAAGTTGAGATTTTTTTATTGTTTATTGGCTTACATAGTTTTTGTGTGAATTATTTGTGTAGTCAGCCTATTTTCTATTGGCATGGTCTTTTAAACTGCTTTTTAGGGTTTAAAAGATTAGGGTTAATCTTTAAAAAGTAATCTATGTTGCAAAACTTTCTATAATTTATTATCTTTTATTTATGGTACTTTTCACTTACAGTAGTGTGAAATTTTAATGTATTTAAATCTTTTCCTAGTTTTATTGTTTCTATGCTGTTTAAAAAGCTCTAAACCCAAGACTACAGTGATATTCATGTAAATTTTCTTCTTAGTTTTTCCATCATTTCATTTTGAACACTTAAATTTTCAATCCTTCTGGTTATTTTTTCTGGATATTTATCTGAAAATAAAATCCTTCTGGAATTTATTTTGGTGTGTGGTCTAAAATATAAATCTAACCTTTTCTTTTCCTATGTTACCAACCATTTGTCCAAGAATAATTTTTTAAAAATAACAAATTAATTCCCCACTGATTTGAACTTCCACTGAATGCTTACAAGTCCTTGGACCTAGTTCTAGATTTTTTTCTATTCTGTCTGCTATTCTTTGGCCTTTACCATCCCGTTTTAATTGATTTGCCTTATAATGCATTTTAATATCTGAAGGTATAAATATTTCTTCATTATTCTTTTCTAAAAAGAAGAAAAGAATTAGCTCTATTTACCAGATTTTTCCTTAAGATAAACCTTGAATCATTTTGTTAAATTCCTCTTACCACCAAAATAAGATCTTTCAGAACTTTGATTTAAAAGTTTAACTCAAATTAATTTGGGGAGAACTGATTATCTTTACAGTATGGAGTCAAGTCATCTCATTCAGGGACATAGTGATTCTGTCAGTTTTTCAAGACTTCCTGTATGTCCTTCTTAAATGCCTTTTTGGGGCGGAAAATGCACAATGATGGGGACCTCTGATTGTTTTCGGACATGGTTTCTGAATCTATGAGCTGGTGCTCCCAGCCACTAAAAGTAACAAAAGAAATTCCTTTTCTTAGTATTGGAGTGTATCGTCAGCATCTACCGTCTCATAAATCTGCAAGAAAGAGATCTCACTTTTTTCATCCAAAGAATCTGAAGTTCAAAACAGCATTTACGGAAAAATCAAACTCCAGGGGCAACTGCAAAGCACATTTGGTGTTTAGCTAGCCAGCTTATTTTGCAGGACTCTTTTTCCAACTCTCAAATACTTTCCAGTCTGTGAAATTCATCTCCCCACCACTGTAACAGCAAGCGCCTTTCCTGGCACTAGGGAGCTCGCACAGTTTTATTGAGCATGGATCTTCTCCGAGGGGGCTTTTTACTGCTGAAGTTGGTTTTTAGTAGATGGCACAAGGCTTCCTTGAATGGCTGTGGCTTGGCAAATCTAAGGGAATTTGGGAAGTATTTAATCGGTCAGAGTTCAGCTTGACCTTGAACACAGTCTTGAAGCCTAACCATTACGCACTTTCCTACGGAAACCAGGGCTCCTGCACCTCCCTGGTAGCCCACCAGTCAAATCACCAGGAACTTGAATTCGCCTGTCAGGGGTTCTCAAGACAAGGCGGAGGTAGTGGGAATTTACCCATAGGGGGACTTCTGGTAATGTCTAGAGACATTTTTGGTTGTCCCCACTGCGGGGCTGCAGGGTGGGGGAAGTTGGGGAGCAGGAAGGCAGAAGGGGGTGGTACTGGTATCTACTGGGTAAGAGGCCAGGGGTGCTGCTAACACCTTACAATGCACAGGACGGCCCCACAACACAGGATTCCCCAGCCTAAAAACTTAATAGGGCCAAGGTTGAGAAATCCGCCTTACAATTTCCCTAACTGCCCAGGCATCATGCATTATATCATTAGAAACAAAGTTAATGCATTATGTAAGACAGCGTTTTTAAAAACGAGACGATTGCCTTTAAAAAGCCCACGGCTCTCACTTTAGCTGAGCCTCATAGTTCTCCCTCTCGCACGCAAGCCTTTCTCTCCAGTTTCTAAAGCAAACAGGAAGGATTCACAGGAACGTAGTAGGTCAGCAGCATCCTCACAGTCTCTTGCACGCTCCTCGATCAGAGAGCAAGGCGCAGAAGTTTGTCCCCGGCAAGCAGCTACGCGGCTGCGGCCGGCGCAGCGCACCACAAGGATGCAGAGGCGCGCTCCCTCACAAAGGCGCAGCGCCGGGGCCGCGGTCCTTCTGGGGCCCGGGAGATGCGTGTCTGCCTCAAAGCGACCCTGCCAACAAGCCCAGCCCGAGGAAAACGCATCATCAGCCCAGCCTAGGAAGGAACAACTCACGGCACTTACTTGTCCAAAATGAAGTACAGGTCAAATCCCCCGTAGCAGGCTGGACCCCCTTCCTCTCTGCGTCCCCCTTGCCCGGCACAGATGAGCACGAAAGTGGCCAAAGAGAGACACTTGAAGCCAACGCCGAGGGCTTTCTGCTCCACGGAGGCCATGACCTGCAGCCCAGGGAGAGGGTAGGGTCCTCTGCTTCCCACGCTCCTCGAACTCGCCAGCACTCTCAGGGGCGCGCCATCCAAGGGGCCCTCCTCTCGGGCCCTTTATTCCCCCTTGCACTCCTGAAACTCCCCGGAAGCAATTGTCTGGAGGAGTTCAAGGTTTTCCTTCTGGTTTCCGCTTCGATTCTGTTTCTAGGTTTCAGGTTTCAAGAATCCCAATACTGTACTCCGCTTTTTTAAAGGGGCTGCTCCCGACTCGGGACCGCGGACCACTCGGGAGGCTGCGCTGAGGTTTTGCAGTTGAAGCAGTTCCGTCCGGACGGTTCTTTGCCCCAGATTTTAAATATTATGGTGTGGGTTTTCAAATTGTTCTTGCTTGGGGAAGCGCTTTGCCCTTTCTCCCTCCTGTCGCCCCCACCCCACCGCCTCCTTGTTTCGATGGGGAAAGAAAATTTAACGGGTGCCACCTTGTGGCCAAAAACGGCCAGAGCGCTCTTCGGCGGTTGCGGGAATGTGGCTGCGCGAGTTTTCTTATTCCTCTCTTGCAGCTTCCCCTTATTTTCCCATTATTTCTTCCCCGTTCCTTGCTCTCTCTTGTTCTCTAAGCTTTTTATCTCTGACCTTTCCTCTCCTATTCTACGTCTGCTGATAAGGTCTCTGCAAACATTTGATGAGAACTTAACTTCCTCCAAACACCGCGGGTCAGAATCAAGGCTGGGAATAAGCCATTGTGCAATGAAGTAGCAAAGAACTGGCTGTAATCGGAATCATCCAAGTGATTTTACCGTTACTGTTAGCACAGATCATAAAAGAGATTATCGGTCCAGTTATGTGGTGGAGAATAGCATAAACACTCCCAATGGAAAGGTTGCTCCCGGCATGGAACAGATGAGCATTCTAGATTGTCCCCATCTCCAGATTTTAGAGATTCTGTGATAAATTCTCTTCAGCCTGTGCACTTTGACTTTTTTCACCCTACCTTTGATTTAGGACAAAGGAAGTAAACAGCTTACAAGAGTATGGACCTTCCAAACAATTTGGGACTGGCAGGGAAGTCTTGTGTTAGCCTTTCTAAAGTGAGTGATCCTCTTTAGAGTGGCCTCTGAGCCCAGGTTCCAGAAGGAGCTCAGTTTTAGGTTCCTGTGCCTCCACTTGGGGAGTCCCCAGTGCACACTCGAGCTCCATTTTCCAGGTCTGTTTCTCTAGTACACGTCTTCCCCTCCACCTGTGAGCCTCTAAACCCCCTATTCCCTTTTGTGACCCTCCATGGTAGTTCCCCCTATTGTGTGTACTGTGGAATCCTAGTGTCTTGTAATGCCCCATTAAACACTCATTTTGCTATTTGGAGATTCATAAAGCATTGCACTAGCCTGCCTCCAGAATAATCCCCAGCATTCTCATCTTCTGGTATCTCATGTCCCCTCTTCCATGCACATACTGAATAATGCATATCTGTAATTAATAACATATTGCAGAAATGATGGTATATGATTTCTGAGGCTAGGTCATAAAAGATATTGTGTTTTCCTCCTTGCTTTCTTGGATAACTTGCTCTGGGGAGCCCACTGCCATGCCATGAGGTCACTCAAGCAGCCCTATGGAGGTTTCATGTGGTAAGAAACTGAGATGCCCTGCTGACAGTCAGCATTAATTTGCCCATTGTGTGAATGACCTTTCTTGAAAGGTGGATCCTCCAGCCCCAGTCAAGCCTTCAGATGACTGCAGTCCTGGCCAAAATCTTGAGTGCAGTCTCATGAGAGACCCCAAGCCAAAACCACCCAGCTAAATCAATCCCAGATTCCTGACCCACAGTAATTATGAGATTATGAATGTTTGTTAGTTTTTTAAGCTTCTAATCTTGGGGGTAATTTGTTATGCAATAATAGATAGCTAACAAACACCTATTATCATGTTAACGTTTGGAGAATTTCTTTGGGAAAAAAAAATTGTTTAACTGTATTTCCCAGACTTACTATACTGTGAAACTGTTCTTTTTACATAACATCCATTAACACCACACTGTGGGAATTACTGCTCTCAGGAAAGAATAACTGGAAGGGGAGATTAAAATACTCTGACCTGTCCCAGTCTTCCTTTTCCATACCTCTCCTCTCCCCAAAGGATTGAAAAGTCATTCTGGTCCCATTGCAACTCTATGATGAAAAAGAAGATAATCTGTAGAAGTTAAGTGGGTAAATGAAAGCAGGAAAACGAGGAGGAATTAATTAGGAAGGGAAAGGAATATGAGAGAAGAAAATGCAGTGGCAAGAACATTTGTGGGTGACAGGTTGGCAAGGAATAGAAAAAGACTTGAATGTTCAAAAAGATTTGGGGGACAGGAAGAGTCGGGGGGGCATTAAGAAAACCTCTCATCACCATGCCTTTAGGTCCTTTAGAGTTTGGGTGACGAAGGAATGTCTTGAGAGCTTTGCAGACAAAACAGTTTAGAAAGCTAGTCTGGAAGGGATCCAGGAGTGTCCTGTTGGAGCTCTTCTAAGTGACAGGCACTATTATTAAAGATAGATGAGAGCACAGCTCCTAGATGGGGAAGGAAATTCAGTATGAAACAAGCAATGGGGAAAGAGAGAGAGTGGAAGAGGCTCTCCTGGGACCAAGATGATGCCTTGTTGGGTAGAGAGGTATTTAGAGGAGTTCAGACACATGAGTATTCCAGCTGCCTCTGCCTTTCTCCCAATATTCTAGAAAGAGATCTGCTAATACAAGCTGACCATCACTAGATCTTAAAGTGGCTCAAGCTTCCTTTCCCTCTAGTCCAGAGAAATCCATTTCAGGCACCTCTTCCAAATCAGAGAGTTTTGTGTCAGCCTTACTCACAATGGGTAGATGTCCTCCAAATATTCCTACAAAGTGAACTCAACATTGAGCTATGGAGATATGGTTATTCCAAGGGAAGGATGAAGTAAAATGAAGATATCAAGAGTCAATAACAGGGGTAAATGAAGCCCTGGTATGACTGCAACATGGTGGGTCAGTGGGTCTGCAAGAGGAGACAGGTCAGGTTCTTTGAATTCGCAATATTTTCCTTTGGTTGTTGAGATGTAGCAGTCTTATAGTTAGTGCATGTAGGGAAATGGGGGAGGTGGATTTCCAAGATTAATTTCACATCTAAGAGACATCTGAGTATCAAGATCCCCTTATGCAAAGGTTACAGTTTTCTTGAAGGAACTCTCAATGCTGTGGTTGGACTGAGGGTGTCCAGGTTCCTAATCCCTTCCAAGGACCTGTTCTGGAGGAGACTGGTTGGCCTTCTCAAAGTCCATAGAGATAGATATGTGAGGTTTGGAAGGAACTCCTCTGCCTTTCAAACTCAAGTAGGTGGAAAAATGATATAAATGGCGATATTGGAGCTAATGTTTAGATGTTTCTGGAGTTGGGGAAGCACAGGGGCAAATTATTCATGCATGTGGAAGTGTTTGAATGATAACTTGGAAGCCAAGACAGGGAAGAGCTTCTTGGAGGAAGAAGCAGTCAACAGTGTCACATGTTGTGGAAGTCAAGAGGGTAAACCATGAGAAAACCCCATTGATTTGACATAATTGTCAATGTGTCGCCAAGAAGCATTCCAGTGGAATAATGAAGAGGGACATCAGACTGCACTGAGTTCCTAGGGAGGGGAAACTTAAGGCTTTAGTTCTGCACTACTCATGTATCTGAAATTTCCAGACTTCCTTCTTTGAGATAGAAGTTGTTAAATATGACTTCCCTGTCTACCAGCCTCCAGTAATTCACTCTCCCTCACTTGCCCCACCTCCTTCCAACATATATGGCTGAGCCCCTTTTGCCAAGCTGTCAAAATAAAGTTTGTTATCTTGACAACATTGCTATTTTACCTCCCAAGAATCTCAATGGGCACTTGAGCATCATTTGGCTAGGTTCTTAACAAAGGTTCTGAAAAATGCTCCAGAAAACAAAGATTATGCAAGAAAACCCAGGAAAATTTTTCCACCAATGGGTCCAGTGTTTGCCAAGTTCTTGGAGGTTCCTCTGATCCTTGGCCTTTGATGACACCCCAGAGCTTCTTAAAACAAAATTTAGTGTAGTGAAAATGGTCTCTTTTTATTCTCATGAGATATCCTTTATGCTTGTGCTCCATAGGACCAACACACAAATGTTAGAAGAGCATTCCCAGAAGCAATTTATCATCCAGAACCACAGTTTCTTAAATAATGGCTTTTAGCCAAAGCAAAGGTACTAATAATAACTAGCCCTGGGGCAGAACCATAGTCTATAGGAAGATACCCTGCTGTCATCCCATAGACCAGGTCATTCGCAACCTTGGCCCAGAAACAGTCAAAGCTTTGTTGAACTCCATAAGTATTCAATCAATTAATAACCCTACCCAAAGCCCAGCACAGTCTAACTTGAAAATCAGTTCAGTCCGATACATCCCTTGATTTTAGGCCATCCCATTACATCCTAAAATCTTGTTGACAACCATGCAAATGCAGAAATAGAACTTATTCCACACAGCTCCAACCCAACTCCAATCAACCCAAAGCCCTGAAAAAAAAGGAGCCATTTGCATATATCAGCCAATGTCATCCCAAAGACAGATCCTGCTTAATGTGGTTCACAATCCAGCTCAGTTAAGCCCACAGACCATCACAGCCCATGCTGAGCAACACCCAAGCCCAGCATGAGAATCACCAGCCACTCTTAACCCAATCCAGCTAAAGTCTAACCAAAGCTCAAAGTATAGCACAGGAAGCCTTATGAAGACTCATTCCTACAGGATTCAGCCAAGAGAAAAATCCATAATTCATACCAGTATATCCTAAAAAATCCATCCCCAGTACAGATTCAAAACCTTGCTGAAAAAAACATTCATTTCATCTAGAACAGGGACCAGGCCAACCCAACCCAGAACCCAGATGAGAGATCAAATGGCCAGTATGATTCAGCTTACTGACAAGCCCAGACAGATGCCCAGTGGAAGACTGCATCAGACAACTCAAGGCCAGCACAAAGCTAAGCACAAGACCAACTGAGCCACTTGCTGCCCAATTCTGCTCAACCCTGGTATATTTAAACATATTCAAGACCAAGTCTTAGGCGGAGACCAGGCCAGTTTCCAACTTAAGATGCTGGAAGAAATCTACCTAGTCTGTCAAACCCATTACTTCTCAGTAGTTTTACTAATGTGTCTAAGCCCCAAACCAGAGAGACCAAGGTTCTCAAGGTGTGTAAACACACATATGTGGATGAGGCTGTATGGAAGGGGGAAGTGAAGGTGGGGGCCAAGAGGCTCACTCACTTTGGAGTAAGCAATGGAGATTTTTCAAGATACATGTATCTGTAGACTATCAGAAATGAATGTGGGGGTTACACAGCACATGCACTTTAATACAGCCTTACAATAGCCAAT